CGGGGTTAAAAGCAAGAACTCCCAGGAGAACTCTCTCTTAGTTTCAGTCTGTAAAGGAGCTAAGAGTTCCCTGGGGGAGGGAAGCCATGCGGCCGGTGAGGTAGGCCGGAGCCTCGGGCAGAGCAGGGGGTGAAGGCCTGGCATGATGGAAGGGTGGAGGAGCCTGAGAAGCATCGGGCCCCCCTCCTATCCCCCGAGAGAGAGATAGAGAGAGAGAGAGCCAGTGCCTGTGTTGCCTTGGAATTCGATATCATGGACTGGCAGCACGGCCAGCCAGAAGTGGGGGATGCGGTGTGAGAGAAGGTGCCCGGCCGCTGTCCAGCCGCTATGGAAGTTCTGGGCAGACAGAGGCAAAGATTTTAACCCCTTTCTGGGAGATAGAGAGAGAGCCAGTGCCTGTGTTGCCTTGGAATTCGATATCATGGACTGGCAGCACGGCCAGCCAGAAGTGGGGGATGCGGTGTGAGAGAAGGTGCCCGGCCGCTGTCCAGCCGCTATGGAAGTTCTGGGCAGACAGAGGCAAAGATTTTAACCCCTTTGTAGAATAATGGAAACCTTACAAATACTGATTCTGCTGAATCAGAATGAGGAGAGAGAGATGAAGCAGTGGGCAAGTGTGATGAAAGTTGGTACAAGTGAGAGATGTTAGAAGAGGTGAGAAGAATCCTAGGTGGGAGATGATGGAGTGGCCTTGAGCTGGACTCTTTCTTGTATGGTCATGGACAGACCCATGTTTTTCCTGTGACACAGAGACTGCATTTAGAGAGAGGCAATGCCTTGAAACCAAAGAGAGTGCAGTGAAGCAGTGGCGTGAACAGAGACGGCTGAGGAGGGTGTGGGATGCCCTCTGTCTCCGTGGAGGGGAAGATCTCTGTTCACGAGGCCACGAGGCCCCAGGGGGTAAATCTGGGGGGGACTGGTGTCCCGAAGTTGAGAGACTGCTGCTTTTTTTGGAACTGGGCAGGGCATCCTTGAAAGGGGAACCCCAAAGGCAGTCCTGGTCCATGTGCAGTAGTGAGAGCACTGGACATGGAGGGAAGAAATCACGAAAGCAGACATTCTTTGAGCAGTGCCACGAGTGACACGGAAACACAAGAGGTTTCAATTGTGTTTCCGGGGGAAGCCTATGGTGCAAAGGGAGACTCCTCTCTCCCTGATGGACTTGAGAGTTGATTATTTGAGGGGTGATGATGGACTCAAAAGTTGATTATCTGAGAGATGGTAACGGGGTGGAAATCTGTCATTTCATGCTGTGGAGGAAAAGGGGGGAGAGGAGGAGGAATGTATTTGGAGGGTTTTCATTCTTAGTTTTGTGCCTGTTCCTTTTTAGATGCTGTAGTTAATAAAGTTTGTCTCCTTTATTCCTAAGTTGGAGCCTGTTTTGCTCTGTTCCTCATCACATCTCACAGAAGCCACTAGGGAAAGTGTATTTTCATGGGGGCACTGGCATTGTGCCAGCCTCAAACCATGACAGAGAAACCCCTGCAGTGGAAGTGTCCCCAACAATGGGGGTCTGCACAGTATCACAGTATCATCAGAAATGTCTCTCTGTGGGAGATTAGGGCCCTTGGACAACTAACTAATGTGATTAAGTAGAAGCTACTTTGTTGTTTACATTATTTTTTGTTTACACTTTCTAATACTACTGTACACACTGATCACACATTTCTTGATTGGTGTTTTTGTCTTGTTCATGTGGTTTGCATGTACTTCTCAGGATATGTGATTGGTTACAGTTCAGGTGTTTCACTGTTCTCTTTTATTTAGTTCTTGTGGTCTTGGAAATTTGTTTTTTTAGTTTCTTTTTTCTTAATTTAGTACAATTTATGTCTTAGTAACCTTGTGTCCTGGATTGTAAGATAAGTGTGTATTCTATTTGCCATCTGTCAGAGCTGTGGCAGTTATCCTCTGTTCATTGGGCAGGTTACTTTATCTCTAAATTTTTCTTCCCTAATAAAGGACTGTAATTCCTGCTCCCATATATTTGCCTGAGAGCCCCTTAATTTCAAAATTATAACAATTCAGAGGGAGGGGGTTTACGTTTTCCATTTCAGGGGAGGTTCCTGCCTTGCTTAACCAACACCTGTCTGTTTAAACCAAGACACCTTGATGAATTCTAGAGGGCTCTGGTAAGAATAACTGAAAGTGGTTTGGCTGGAGCACACTGTGGTTTAAGATGTCTAAATACATTGTTACATCTCTGCCAACTGTGCTGGTTTTGATGTGTTTTGTGGCACTTTCTGGATGAACTTTCAGAACATCTTTGAACAACCTCCATTGACTCTGGAGAGTGCAAACCCCCAAGGTGTTGGAGGTGACAGGTGGCTGTGGCTGTTTGTCGAACAAAAAAAAAATAATGACTATATTGTGGTTACTTATATTCAAGTATTTATTTGTTTAAAAATCTGATTATTTCTTTTTTAGGACTACATTTTGGCTTCTAAAGTGACTGAAATGTCTCTTTCAAGGGCCATTTGCATCTCTGATCCTGGGGAGGCTGTGCAGTGTAGTAAGCTTCTGACAAAGCAGAAAAAATCCCCTAGTCCTGTTAAAAAAAATACCACAATTTTTTCCATGGTTGAAGGCACATGACCATCTATTTATACAGTCAATCTCATGATGTATTTTCTTTGAAATTATACTTCCCATAGATTTGAAAGCCCTTTTAATTAAAATGCATCGTGACATAAAGAAATACACCACTTTTTCACAATCCTGCACCTTAGGCTTTCCAAGAGGCAAGTCTTAATTTCAAAATGTTGAAAAAAGATAGGCTTTCAAGTAAATTATTGATTTGAAAGTTCTGCCTAGCGATTTTCTTTCAGGGAGGCAGCGTTTCCATCCTGAGGTGTGTGGGTAACACATCTTTTAGAATCTTTTAGAATGTGCATTCCCAGATGCCAGGGGCGAGGAAAGGAGGAACATTTAAACATTGAAGGAATCCAAACACTGGCATTTGGTTGATGCTGGCATTGATTACTCCTAAAGAAGAGTAACCAATTAGTACTGGCATTCAATTGCTGGTCATCAGCCATCATCTGCTAATGTTCATTTGGCTTTTCCACTGGTCATCAACCATAAGCTGCCAATCCCATTTGGCTTTTCCACTGGCCAGGCTGGAGAATGACTGTGAGTGGGGGATGGCACCTGTGTCCTCCAAACCTGCTGCTGCTCTGCAGTGCCCAGCTGTGGGGCTGCTTGTAGCATGGCTCTCAGGTTGGAAACAATGGGGCCTAATCAACTGTGACCTCAGGGATCCCCTCCAGCCTGCAGCAGGAATTTGGGGCTGTGGGACAACAATAATTTTTGAGTCAGACAACACAGCCGCTCCATGGAGTGCGTGTGCTGTAGTCTCTGGATTTCTTTTAAGGCCAGAATCAATCTCAAGCCAAGAGACCACATGCCAAAAGATGAGCAGTGCCAGGCTGGACTGTTCAGAATGGACAAGGACAAGCAGGAACTTGCCACGTCCAGATTCCAGTTTTGCAGCTGGTGCTCTGCCACCTGATGCTGCAGCTGCCCGTGACAGAGAGGCTCTGGATGCTGCAGCATTCCCACATCTGTCCCCTTTGCAGTCCTTCATAAATTTATCTTGGGAATATTTGTTTTAACAGCATGACCCATTTAGCATGGTCTAATGTCTCCTGCTGAAAGGAGCTGGGGATGTGCTCTGTGCCAGCAGCACTGGTGGGTTCCTGGCTGTCCCCAGGAGAGCTCTGCAGCTGATGGACCCCAGAAAAGCAGGCTGATGCTGCTCCAGGAGGCACAAAGGGAGGGGTTACCTGCCTTTTGGGAGGGAGAGGGAGAAAGAAAGAGGTGTGGGGGTCCAGCAAGAGAATAAATGCAGGAGAGAGCCTGGGACCGGGTGGCTGGGGAGAGGAGCTCTGGTGTCTTCAGATCCTGCTGGAAGAGCACCTGGACAAAGCTGCGTGCTCTGCACCAAGGCAGCTTCTGGAGCATTTAACCATTAACATCCTGGCCCAGCAGCCACGGGCTGTGACCTAGACTCACCAGATTGCACCAGGTTGGTGGCCCAGGCCCACCAGGTTGGTGGCCCAGAAGCCTTGGGCTGTGACCCAGACCCACCAGATTGCACCAGGTGGGTGGCCCAGACCCACCAGGTTGGTGGCCCAGAAGCCTTGGGCTGTGACCCAGACCCACCAGATTGCACCAGGTGGGTGGCCCAGACCCACCAGGTTGGTGGCCCAGACGCCTTGGGCTGTGACCCAGACCCACCAGATTGCACCAGGTGGGTGGCCCAGACCCACCAGGTTGGTGGCCCAGACTCACCAGGTTGGTGGCCCAGACCCAGCAGGCTGGTGGCCCCGCAGCCTGCACTGTCCTGTCCCTACCAGACTCCCCCAAGGGGCCTCTGTGAGCCCTGTCCCTGCCGAGCCTGGAGCTCCTGGCCTGGGCCGTGGGCCCTGGGATGCTCAGGGCTGCTCTCAGCCCAGGCAGGACTCAGCTGTCTCTGCCTACAAGCACAGGACTCTGCTTCCAGCTCTGCTGCCTGTGGGATCATTTCCTCATTTAGGAAAGAGAGGAGGAACGGGTGCACTGTAAGGATTTTCCTCTCCTTAGGCTGAGCTGATCACGGGGGTCTTGGAGCCAGATCTTCAGGCCAGCTGTTGCAAGGTCTGAGGTCTGATGTGCAGAACAAGAAGTTCTTCATCCCCAGCAGACCATTCTGGGCTTGCTTTGCCTCAGAAGTAACTGGGGAGGGTGGGGGGTGCATGGAGCTCCCATGGAAGATGCCTGAGTTCTGCCATGGGACAGTGCAGTGCAAACTGATCTCACTCTGTGCTGACACAGCCTCTCAGAGAAGAGGAAGTCCTTTAGTGAAAGCAGATAAAGGGTAGAGAAATGTGTCAGTCAGTTATTTTTTCAGCCTGTATCAAAGAACTGAGATACACTTGCAGTTTGTATGGGTGTTTTTTGGTTTTTTCTTTTTCTTTTTTTTTTCTTTAATTTTAAATTAAGGAATCAACAAAGCAATGTAAGAGCTAAAGTATAATTTTAATTGGTAATACCTTATATGAAACTGAACACAGGACTACAGACAAACTGCAAAAACGTGACTCTACATTCTGAAGTTACAATACATAGAATATAAAAGTATAAGAGCAAATAGCACTCCTAACTGCCTCAGTCCACCCCAAGCAATCATTTCTTTCCATCCAACTTCTCAGTTGCTTTGCTTTCCCATGAAAATCCATGGTGGTAGGACTAGCGGTAGGAGTAGTCACCCACGAAGGTCCAGGAGGCAGGAAAGCAAAAACCAGAGCCCCAGGGAGAGCCTGCCCAGGCAAGGGAGAGGAGGAAAGAGGCTGTGAGGCAGCTGGGCTGTCCTGCAGCCCCCCGCTCTTCTGAGAGCACTTGGCCTTTGCTGAGGTTCTGAGGTGTTCCTGTGATCTGCAGGTGATTCATTTGGGGAAGCACAGCAGACAGACCCTGCAGTGAGCAGGGGAAGCGTGCCCTGCTTCCCTGCTGGCTCATGATTTCCCTGCTGTGGTGCTGGCAGTGCTTTGTGCTGGATGTCTGAGCTGTGTCTGCGGAGAGGGGGGATGCTCAACCCTTCCCCATTTCACAGCAGGACCATGTCTGCCCTGCCCTGCTTGCAACACCCACTAGGCAGCAGAGAAAAGAAAATTCTGGGAACAGTTCTCCGAGCCTCCGTCCTCTTGTCTCCACTCTGTGCTCACTCTCCTCTATCTTCAGCTCTCCTCCACAACCTCTCTGACACTGAGCAGCCTCAGCTTTGTGCTGCTTTGGATCAGCCAGCAGCGATCCATCCCTGCTGGCATCTGCCTGGGCTGCATCCCAGCTCCCTGTGCTGGGGCTGTCTGCACCGGGGCATGGAGCTGCCTTGGATTTGCCCTGCTTGAACTTCACTGGACAGCTCCCCGTGCTCTGAACTGCCCGTGGAGATGGAGCTTCCCTGGCGTGTTTTCCTTGCTAGTGCCAAGGCTGTGGAGGGGGCTGAGAAGCTTTTCTTGTGCTGTTTCTGAACCATTTTGTCCCTCTGCTGTGGACACGGTTCTTCACTGGCAGGTTGTGCGGGAAGGATATAAAATATCTTGTCTTTATGTAGCACCTCTTGTTAGAAGGGACCCGGGGGACTGACCAAGGTACCCAGCTCTGAAAAGCAGCCAGCTGCAGAGTAGAGCTCCTCCCCAGCTCAGAACAGGTTGAATATAGGGACTTGTTTTTCCAGGATCTCAGAGTCAACCCCACAGCGCATTGAGGGTTTTTTCCCTCCATTTTTTCTCATGCTTTGTGTCCATCAGCAGCCATCCATCATTACCAGAGTTTGCTGTTCACTGTCACTGCAGGACACGAGCTTACTCCAGCAAGCTGAATTTCACCCAAAGAAGCATCCCAGATTCCTCATCCACGACCTAAGGTTTCCTGGAGGAAATAAGGGAGGAGCTGACTCAGAGCAGTCCTGCTACATTTTAAACAGGCCCAAGTAAGTCTGATCCTCTAGCAGGCTGTATGTGTTTTTGTCATTTTTCTTACAGTGCAGCTTATCTCCCTTCTGCAGGAAAAAGGGTCTTGCAAAGTTTACTGTGCCATTCACAGCTCCCACAACGTTGTTGAGGACAATTGTTTGGTTTTTGTAAAGCATCATTGTCAAAGAATCTTTGAGTGTCTCCTTGCGGTAGAGCTGAGCATAGATGAAGTATTTGCCACTCTGCTGGATGATGAGGTACTGCTCTTGGCCCTGCACAATCCCATTGCAGTGCTCTAATTTCCAGTTCCAGATCAAAACTCCGGGTTCTTCTGAAGAGTCCTCCTTTACTGAGGAAAGCACAGACAAAATGGTGTGGTGAGTAATTATGTCAGAGGACAACCTTGTTCTGTACATGAGCATGTTTTATCACTGCTTCCCATTCTCTCATTCCCCATTCACTTCTTGACTTTCTAACAATTATTGTTTACTTGTTATTCTACTTGCTGTTATTATAATTATTATTGATCGTTCTTTTTGAGTTTGCTGACTTCTAAGAAGTGCTAGAAAGGGGTCCCAATCTGCCAGGAGAGGCTGTGAAGGATCTCTGTGGCCATGGGTGGCTTGGAGGTGCTCCCTGCCAGAACAGCTCAGCTGTGGAAAGCACCCTGGAGATGGGAGATCTTCAACACTGAGGGTTGGGTCTCAGCTGGTCTCTAATAACAAAAAATTCCTAGGTGGAATTTCAGCTGGATCTGAAGATGATGAGGATGACAGTAATCTTGCTGGCTGCTGTGGTTATAGCCCTTCAAGAGGGGAACAGTCAATAACTAAAATTCTATGTGTGCAGAAGTTTTTAATTTCATTAAATAAACCTCTGTGGAGGTTTCAGCTACTCTACAGGGCATCAGTTTAGAGCTGCCCTGGAGTTTGCCTGGAGAGCTGGTGATTAACGCCCAGCAAAAATGATGAGCCTTGAGAGGCTCCCTGGAGCAGAGGCTGGGCAGAGCTAAAGGAGTAAAACCGGGATTTATTAAAGGCCTTCACAGGATGCACCTTGGGCAGTACAAGAGCCTGGCCAGGGCTACCCCAAGGCAAGGGCAACCCCAAGATGGACCCTGGGTCACGAGTTTTCACACTTTTATAAGTTTTGGTCCATTTCCATACTGGGGTTCATTGTCCAGTTACAGCTCAGGTGATGCAGTCCCACCCTCCCAGTCTGCCCTCCTCCATTCCCTGTTGGTTGCACTTTTTGGGCCTGAAGCTGCAGCGGTGTCCTTGGTTCTGGGGCTGGAAAAGGATTGGTTTGTGTGACTGAGCTGTGGAGAGACCTTGCTAACACTTTATATGAAGTTCAGAGTTATAAACTAATGCAGTACAGAATCTGGAAAATATGAAAGTTCAAACTGAAGGCATCACTGTGGGTTTCACAGTCCATCTTTGGGTAGGTGCACGTGACTCACACAGAGAGAGGCAGCTGCTGGCTGCCAGCCCTGGGTGCAGAGCTGGGCAGCTCTGTTTGTCACAGTGCCCTGGGGACTCTGTCAGTGCTGACCCCTGTCCTTAAACAGCACCAGGCCTGTGACACAGACAGCTTGTGTCACAGCACAAGCCAGAAAGCAGCTCTAGAATCTCCATACTTACGAGATCCATGTGCCCAGCATGACCCTGGTGCCTGTGGAGAGAAGCAGGGTTTGGTCAGTGTTTTCTCCTGTGATTTTCCATTTATCTGTGAGCTCAGTAGAGGAGCATTATCATTACAAGAGCACAAAAGCATTCTCCTAGGAAGAGAAGTTATTTTTCTACCCACCATTACAAACACAAGCACTGTTTTGTTACGAAAAAACAGATGTTTTCCAACAAAGTTTTGAAATGTTTAAAATAGGTCAATTTTTTTCATATCCATTTTGGTGGCATTTTCACAGAATTAAAAAAAAAAAAAAAAAAAGACAACCAATCAGCAGTGACTTGCAGCAGACCTGGTAAAAGTTCTACATTCCTGTTGGGTGACAGGATTTAATTCCATGCCTGGACTCAGCTCTTGTGGATGCTCACAAGTGATGGCTCTGTGGACAAGGACTTGACTTAAAGCCAGTGCATAAACGTGGGAAGCTGCACAGCGTTGTGCTAATTCACCCTCATTAACCCCATTAATTCCTTCTGTGCAGAGTGTGGAATGACTCAGGCAAATAAAATCAGCACTACCACACCAGCCAGGCAGAGCAGGGAGGACAGCTGCTGGCTTTGAAGCCTTCTTCCCTGTAACTGCTGCACATGCTGAGCTCGGGGTGACAGGCACAGAGCTGTCTGATCCAGAAGAGCCTTTCCAGCCCAGGGTGTCTCCATGGGTGCCCTGGTGGGAAACTGTCAGTGGCAAGAGATTTCAGTCTGTCCCTGTGACTCACACCTTGGGCTTTGCTCGTGCAGCTCCTGCTCTTCCTGCACAGCAGCTCTGCTCTCCCTCTGGCAGAGCCCAAAAAAAGCAGATTTGGGATCAGCTTACAGGTCCAGAGACCTCGTTCTGCCTCACACCTCTCACATCTTAGTGAGTTCAAGCTCAAAAATGCTTGAATTTTCCCTAGGAGCACTGCCTCGTTCCTTCCTTAGGAAGTTGCTGTCCTGAGTGCTGGGGAGGCTGTTGGCTGCCTTGCAGGGAGAGGCTTCCACTGCCCTGTCCTGCTTTCCCCGGTTAACAGGAATCAACAGGACTGAAGGCAGTCCTTTCACTTACTAAAGAAACTTTCTGTTTACTAACACAAAGTTAGTAAACAGAAAAACATTCTTGAATAAAAGAAGGGAAGGAGTGGAATACGTGTGAACATCTATGTGCTCGTTGCCATCACAGGGATTCTGTTGTGACTGCAGCGCACAGAGATGGTGCTTCACAGCTCCCAAATGGGTGACAGAAGCTGTGGGTTTGGGGATAAAAGTGGATTAAAACCAATTAATTTATTTTGGGGTTTTTATATTTTACTGCTATAAGGTGCAGAGACTGTTTCTCTCTTGTGGGAATTTAGCAGACTGCATATTTTATTTTTTAAAATTCTGTGCCTTGTCAGATCAGTCCTCAGAGGGCTTCCTGGCATCATTATGCCCCAGGCAGCTCCCAGACCATGAGAACAAACTACCTTTCCTCTTAACAGAAAGGGGCTTTTTCCTTGTGTCTTCCCCTAGAGAACCGGAACGTACAGTTCCAGTACTGGAAGGAGGTACCTTACAACGGGATCAACCCAGCATCCCAAATTAGTTCTTGGTTCCTCCAGGACACAGATTCACATTTTGGAAAGCTGAAAATAAAAAGCTGACTTTCAGCCCATGAGTCACTTGGCTCTCCCAGTATTTCTGTTCAGTACTGTGCGTGCGGTTAGGAAAAGCTCATCGGGATTAGCTCATGAAATGCAGAGCAAAACTTGAACTGGTTTTTGTGCTAGATTGTAAAAACCAAGTGTGAAAAGGCTTTGTGCCTGGTGAATTACCACAACTTCTCAGCCTCGCTGGTCCTCACAGAGCATCACCACTTGATATCACATTGGAACAGTGCAGGAAAAGAACAACCAGAGTAATAAAACCTGACATTTTTTTTAAGCTTAAGAAAACGAGAGGAAAACACTGAAGACATTGAGGAATTGGTGAGACAGTAAGGGATTGATGAAAACATTATCAGCTGAAATCTTGGAAACCTAAAGCATTAGCACTCTTCAAAGAGGAGAGAATTATTAGGTTGGAGTTAGCTGATAGCATCAACCCAGCACTGTTAATAATTAGGAATGAGCACTGCAGAGTTAAGAATTTTGCTTTGTCCTTACCTGCTGATGATAGAGCAAACAGAAGGCGATGGGAACCAGGGCTGAGATAATAATCAACACAAAAATGAGAGCATGAAAAGCAACCCGCAGACACGTGGATCTCCTCTTCTCTGGAGCATTCCCACCCTCCAGCATGGCTGGTGGCTCCATGACGCCTGACATGGGTACAGCTGGAGGGGAGGATGAGGATGCAAAGAGCACCGGGCTGAGGAAGGCACTGCCAGGATTCCCGAGGTCCGTGTTGCCACTGCGGGACATGGACAGGATTTTATACTGGTGATTTGCCCATGCTAATAAGGCCAAGAGGAGGAGCCACCGGGTTTCATCATCAGCCCAGGCTCCAAGGCAGTGAGTTTGCACTTCCTCACGAAACTGAGGCAGGGAGCTCTCAGCTGGCTCCTGGCCCAGGAGGCCTGAAATGAAACCGGCAACAGGCTCCAAAAATCACCTCGGAATATCAGCGCAAGGGGTCAAGGTTAAAAACCCTGCAGGGAGCACAGAGTTCACTGGACGAGGGATGAAGGGATGAGGTGCCAAGCACAGGAACCTCACCCCACCTGCTGCTGTCTCTGGAGGTGCCAGTGCTCGCTTGGTGCCTGGCTGGGGAGCTGGCAGCAGGTGGGAGCTGGTTCTCATCCCGACAGCAGAGCCGCTGATGACAGCAGGACATTTTTCCAGTTCCCTGGGGACATGATTCATGCAGTAAAAGTGAAACCACACTCACTCCAAACTGTGACGCCACAAGCATCAGTCTTGGCAGCAAATGGGAACAGCAAATGGAATCCAACTGCCAGCCTCAGCTTCCCCCTGACACCACTCAAGGACAAGGAAGAGTAGGAAGAGGGTTGGGGTTTTGGAGATGGCTTTCAATTTGGCAGTTTGAAGTGAGCCAGGTTTCAAGGTCTTCCTGAAATAACTTTTAGCCTTTCCTGTCCTATAATTTTTACTTACCTGCTTTTTTCAAGGTCTTCCTGAAATAAATTTTAGCTTTTCCTGTTCTATATTTATTACTTACCTGCCTTTTTCAAGGTCTTCCTGAAATAAATTTTAGCTTTTCCTGTTCTGTATTTTTTTCTTACCTGCTTTTTGAGTTCTGTATTGTGGGAACAAAACTGTAATGGAAGTGTTGTGTGGAGAAGACAAAAAAAAGTTTAAAAAAATCAAATAGGTTTGAGAAGTAAAAAACAAATATAAACAAAAAAACCCCACCAACTAAAAGAAATATTTCAACTGTCAACCTTAAAAGTAGTTTCTATTTTTGCATTCTGCACATTCTTTTGAGTTTTCTTTTAATATGAAAAAGTGCTCTTCGTTCGTGTTTATTTAGAAAAGAAATTCTGATGTCACAAAGATGTCACTGAGAGATCTCTGCCAGCTCTTCTGTACTCCCTTTCTGGGGATGGAATGCATATAACTTTATAAACTTTACTCTTGGTTCTTCTCTGCCTCTTCCCAACCTGTGGGTGAAACCTCAGCTCTTCTGGCTCCATAAAACCAAAATTAAATATCTGTGTAGAGCAGCCTGCTCAGGGCTGGCCCCTGGCAGGGCTGCCTGGCTTTCAGGGCACCCTTTGGGGGCAGCTTTAGGGCAATCTGTGGAAAAGGGGAGCCTTGGGGTGACTTTCCTGTGTCACCCCTGCAGCCTGTGGAGGTTTCCTGCCTGACTTGGTAGTGATTTCACACCACTGATGTCAAGGACACAAGGTACTTTCCATGAGAAACAACTTCCAAAGGAAATAATTTAAGGACTTGGCCTGTGTGGGGAGAACTTTTGATCAAACACAGAGCTATTATTGCTACCACAGATAGAGCTCAGGGCAGAAAATGTCAGCCCTGGGGTGCAGAATCTGCCAGTTACTCTGATAAAAGCAGGGTTTAAATGTGAATGATCACACAAGGGCAGGATCACACAGGACCAAAAAGGATCTGGAGTTCAATGCTTCCAAATATTGAACAGGCTGGACTCTACCTTGAGTCCAGCTAGAATTACATTTATTTTATATCCATGATGTCGTGTTACATTAAGCATGGATACAGTTGCCTATGTGACCCACTGTTAAGGGGCAGCACTGGAGAGCAGTGGCCAGGGACTGTAAATCTGCCTTTCCATGGTGCTATTTGTAAATACACTGCCAGGGACTGTACATCTGCCTGTCCATGGTGTTATTTGTAAATACACTGCCAGGGACTGTACATCTGCCTGTCCATGGTGTTATTTGTAAATACACTGCCAGGGAGAGAGCCCTGGCACTGCAGCCCTGTGCCAGCATGCCAGTGATGCCACAAGCCCTGTGCAGGGCTGGAGGAGCTTGGCAGGAGGCAGCAAGCAGCATTTCATTCTGCAGGTCCCACCAGCCTCAGCCAGGCTGGGGAGCAGTGAAATCACTGTTTAAAATAAGGCTCTCTCTCTCTACTTGCAAGAATATTTATATGGCTGCCTCTTAACTGTGTCTCGCCTACAGACCCCAGCAGTTTTTGTTCAGCCAGAGATTAACCTTGTTGGTCTCAGTTAAAAAGAAAAAAAAAAAAAGACTGGCTAAGCAGAGCAGAATACTCAATCACAACCAGATTTGGGCTCATTCTCTTCCTAATTTCTCACACTTCTCAAAAGCAGCCTCAGCTCTCGGAATGGGATTTTGCAACCAGCGTGTAAATTGGCAGGATGCCCACTGTATGTTGTTGTCATCCTTTTCTTTTTTATGCTCCCTGCTCACAGTCTGTTAGGGAGGTACGGAAACACATTTAGTGTAGAAGCAGTTGTGCTCTGCAAGGAGGGACACAGGGGCATGGTTTAGTGGTGGACGTGGCAGTGTTAGATTCATGGTTGGACTCCAGGATGTTAGAGTTCTTTTCCAACCTCAATGATTCTAAGGAACAGGGTGTGACTCTTACCTGCCTTTTTGCCCTTTCCTCTCTTCTCTGGTATCTTTAGAACACAAGTATGTATGGGCAGGCTTCACACTGGCAGTGCCACAGCTCAAAATACACAAAGCTGATTTCTGCCTTTGAATTTCCATTGTGTTGAGGTGCGTAGGTGCAGGTGTTTGACTCCCTGCCAGTTTCTTAATCCAAAATATCTGTTGAAGTGATTACAGGGACTATCATGTGCTTCACTGGGGACCTCACTTCCTCTGCCTAAGCCCAGCCCTGGGGACTTGTGGTAATGTCTCAGGCAGAGACTGGAAGCAGCAAATTTACCACACACATTTTCAGGCAGGAACTTTCCATGACTGCATGTGGCACTGTGCCAGCCCTCACTTGCAGGTTTGTCCCAGCCCCTCTGGCTCAGATGCCATCCCTCTGGGCTTTGCAGCCTGTCCCCTGGGCAGCTGCTTTCCAAAGCCTCACACACATCTGCATTTTTCATCACCAAATAAGGCACCACTGGTATGAATACGAAGTTTGCTTTAATCCTAAAGTGGGTTTCTCAAGTCCTGACCAGCTTGTTTTCTGTCAAAAGAATGATTGCCCTGTCTTTACTTGTGGTGCATTTCTGTGTGTTTGTGGGAAGGCTGGCACATTTCCAGCTGCCACAGCTTTCCAGGAATACGAGAGAGGCTTAAGAAGCATAGAAAAGCCCTAAAGGAGTTTCAGCACCAGTCCACAAGTCAGAGAAGGAGAAGGATTGATTGAGTTTCAGGTCTCTCTGTTGCACCCTGTGTCTGGGCATCTTGCTGCCCTTGTTTCTCCCAAACTGAGTGTTTTGGGGTCACAACAATATCAACGGGCAAATGTTGTGGTGTGATGTCATGGCTTGCCTCAGTTTCCCCTGGTTTCTCCCTGAAATTTCCTTCCCCAGGCAGGAGTGTCAACCACCTCTCCTTTTCCCACCCTTGACCCCTGCTGGGCATTGTCTGTCAATCCAGAAATTCCAGGGGAGCATCGAGTGATTGGCAGGTTCAAAGGATGCTCTCCACCCCTGGGGGGCCATTGGCCCACCCAGGTGTCCCTCTCACCTGGGACCCCCTCCTCCTGTGCCTGGTTGGTCCTCCCTGGGTCCCCTCCCCTGCCCTTCTCCCCAGGTAAAAGGACAAGCAGAGCACGAGGTGGGGCTCTGGTGGAGTGGTTGTTGGAGTTGCAGGATTCAGAAATAAAAACTCTGGATTAAAAACTCTCCATCAGGACCCGCTCCTTTCTTCACCTCGCCTTAAGGGTTTCTCCAGCTCAGGGAAGGCCTGAGGAGTGACCCTCAACAGCAAGCTCTGGAGCTCAGGATGTGCCCAGACTCGTCCCCAAGCGCCCAGCTTGACCACAGGTACTGAACAGCCTCTCTGGGGAGAAAACTCCACAGGTTCAGCAGCAGGAACCAGATAAGACAAGGCACATCCCCCAGGATGTGCCCAGACTCGTCCCCAAGTGCCCAGCTTGACCACAGGTACTGAACAGCCTCTCTGGGGACAAACTCCACAGGTGCTGCTCTTTGGTTCAGCAGCTGGGACCAGGCAGACCAAGGCAGTCCTGTCAGTAATATTGGTATAATATTGGTGGAAAAAATGGAAAAAAAGTGGAGCTCCATGGGGGAAAAGGCAGGAGGAAGGCACGGCAGGATGCCTTCTGGGGCAGCCCCTGGGCACTCTGAGTCCCAGTCTCAGGGCCAAGGGCTGTGCAGCTGGCACAGTGCCAGAGGGGGACAGAGTGGTGAGTGTCCCAGTGGGAATCCTGGGGGTTAAGAGGGAAGGAAGGGATTGGAGTGATTGGAGCTCTCTGGCACCATGTCCTGGCTGGTCTCTCATGCATTGTCTGCCCTTGTTTTCCATCTGTTTGTATTCTACTGTGGCATTCACATTTTCTGAAAAATCCCTTTGCCCAGGATTTTTCTCCTGGGAAGCTGAGAGGCCTCAGAGAAAAGGAAAACAATTCTTATCTCATTTGCTTCTCCTGTGTTGTGCTCATGTGGAATGTGTTTGGAGATTGTTTACCCACAGGTGATTGTTCCATTGGATTCTGCTGTGAGTTGTTTTCACTCTTTGGCCAATCAGGGCCAGGCTGTGTCAGGACTCCGGAGAGAGTCACGAGTTTTCATTATTATCTTTTTAGCATTCTGTAAGTAGCCTTTCTGTACTCTATAGTATAGTATTCTTTAATATAATATATTATTATAAAATAATAAATAAGCCTTCTGAGAACATGGAGTCAGATTCATCATTCCTTCCTGCCAGGAGGGTTCCCACAAATACAGTATTCCACTCAGCCCCTGGCTGCTAGATTGGGCCAGGAGGGCTGTGATCTGAACAGTGACTGAATTGAGGGGTGGGTGAAGGCATGCTCTCATGTTAAATGGGATCCTGGAAATTTGCCTTCTGGGTATGGCCACAA